AAAGGAGACTTGGAACGGGTTAAGCCCATGTCAGAGATCTGATCAAATAACTTGCTGGTTTTTACAAATTTTTTTTCTCAAAAGTTAAGGTACCACTGAGGCACAGACACTAGAGACCCCAGGTGAGACCATCCCTGCTGCAGAGTATTTGCTTTCCCTGAGCACTGGGAAAAAAACTATCCTCTGACTACAGACTGGCAGTTAATGGTTTGATGAAGCACTGGGATAATGGTGTGCCCAGAGCAGAATAGCTGCGTACTGCGCTGTGCCTTTAAGTCATTCAGTATAAGATTTATTTAAATAAATGAGCTATTTTTTCTTAAATTCTGGCATCAAAATACTGCTAGAGAAAGAGGAATTTATGTTCACTTGGCAGTCAAATGATAATCTTGAATGTGATATTTTAAATCTTTTATTTCTGCAAACATTGGTGTGCACAAATTGCTCCACTTTGTATTTTTTGAGAAACAGGTCCTCAACTAGAATGCAGAAATGTAGTACAGTAATTCTTACATTTCTACTTAGTCAACCACCAGCAGGCATAAACTCATCTATATTTAACTGATAATATGATAATCCTATTATAATAAATTACATTTTCTACAGGAGACTTGAAGGACATGCAAAGGGTGGGATGCTTTAGACTTCACAAATGGATGTCATTGGACTTAAACGCTTCTAAATAAAACTGAGGAAATGGGGATAGTTGAAAGAAGAATGTGCTGACAGCAAATATTTTTGTGTGTGTAGTGGGAAAAGGGTTAAATAGAAGTCAGTAGTGGTGGGATACATGGAAATCTTAGGGAAAGGACCGTGAAGATAAGAGTGTTAGGGACTGAAAAGGGTTTAATGATGAGGTACAGTTTGAGCCAATGATAGAGAATGCGCACAAATGGCTGCAAATGGGTCTTTAAATAAAATCGTTGATAATAATTAAGGACTTTTGAGTCTAGAGTTTGATCTGGGAGAAACAATTGTAGTACAAGTATTCCATCACAGTAGGAGGGAAGAGGTGGAAATACCTGAGCATGCTCCCAGGATGGCTGCAGTAGTTCTCTGCTGGTTGCACCTTTCCTCACAAAGGTAAGAGCTTGACCTTGAGTAACATCTGCCTGAGGAAGGAAGTCAAAAGGGAGACATCCAGGTTGGTAAGTAATTTACCCTCTGATCTGCTAGCAAATTTTAAAGAAGGATGATCTCCGTGCAGCTTTTCAAAGAGAAGGACTGCTGAGTCTTAAGGGAGACTAAACCTCTGAGTATGAAATTTCTCGGGAGAGGTTTAAGATTAAGTTTTAGCCTTCCCCTGTCATCTCTCTCACATCACAAATAATAAAAGGCTCATTGTTGGCCGATTTGGATCCAGTTTTGTAGGTCTCTGCAATCTGTAGGGAATGCTCTGATATTGCAGAGAGTTTTGAGGCCATGTTCTTTTTAATCACAAAGCTTCACAGACTTATGATGAGCCCAAAGTCCTTGGCTAGTAATGTCACAAAGACTAATACCCAATACAGATCAAATTAAAATCTTCCTGTAATTTTGACACAAAAAAGCATGCCTGTATTGGCATCTTCTATCCCAATAACTAAAGAAATGCACTAAAACATTGGATGAAAAAATGATGTATTAAATTGCACAGTGGCCATTGTTTTTCATTATTCTTTCTAATTCAAATTACTTTCAACATTTTTTTGTTATTAACTGTTAATAACATTATGCTCAAAAAAGAGTATAAAAATAGGTGCATGAAATATGTAAATAAAACTGAATGTCTTTCCTTTTTTTTTGCTTATTTGTTAGCTTCCCCGAACTAGGATCCGGAATGTATGAAAATACTTCAGTCCTAGGTTTTAATAAAGTCAAGGAGTTTGTTGCAAAAATATTTTTAAAACTTTAACTCAGCCTTTTTTGCAGTTGTTTTTTACAATTAATAAGAATCCATATGAGAGTTGGACCAAAATTCTGGCTAATCTGATACTCTGACCATAACCAATCATGAGAACAAGAAGAGTCGTGTGAGAGCAAGGAAAGAAGCTGCCCCCAGGATGCTCACCTAACCTCCAGTTTACTGAGACTTTCTGAATCAAGACTTTTCCTGCATATTTAGTTCATTGAATTATTTCAGTTGCTTTATGGTTTGTGGATTACATAAATAGTTGCTCAACACAACTTGAATAGACTCAAAAAGCTTTTAAATAAAGGAAAATTCTGTAGCAAAATACATTTTTTAAAAAAATTGTATCATCTGCAGTAGCAATATTGATTCATTTGAGAGCCAAGAACAAAAAAGTCCACTGAGATCTCTCTTAAAAGGACAATGTTAAGCATGGTTTTTCTCTGTTAAAAAGAAACCTTAGCCAAATATGAAAAATTATCAAGATGATAAATGGCATGTTATTCTACAGGCAAAATAGCATTTACATAGCAAGATTAAATCTAGGCTGCACTTGATAGAAATGTGGTTGGAAAGTTTCTGTTACTAGGTGTGTCTAGAAGGGCTATGCACAGACTTTTCACACTCTGTTTTCCCTTGGAAAAATACCTCATAGTTCCAGCAATGTTACCTTTGGAGCATTTGGCCAAAGTTTCCATCTTTATATGCATTTGATATTACAGAGGAAGCATTCTAAAGCAACCTACAGGAGAACTAAATATAGGAGTTAGATGGGGGCAGGTGCTGCACTCCCACTGAATCAAGTGCTTCTGTCCCTGTACAAAGACAAAATGTACTTTATGTAAGGTTAGTTATTGGTTTGGGTTTCTTCTTCCCTATAGATTCCTTACATCATGCTCATGCTGGGGCCTAGGCATACTGGCATAGGAAAACCTGCTCCCAGGTGAAAGTTGGGTCCTTTGCTTTCTCAAGTAATTACTTGAGAAAATACTTCCTGAAATAAAGTGCTTACACATCCAGGTTTTCCTCCCAGGAACTTCTTTTCCCAGGCAGGGGTGAGATTCTGCTGGGTATTGCCTCTTTTATTCTACAGATTTTACCCTGAGTATTCATATTTCTTTTTTCTTTTCTTCAGCTCAGGGTAGAACACTTTTGTAAGAGATTGAATTTCAAGTGTACTGTAATTTACACAGAGCTCAGATTATTTTACTGCCACTTTAGAGAGTTATTATTTGTGAAAGAAAACAGCTAGGATGGAAAAAGTCCTTTTTATACATTGTGGTCATTGGTTGTTACCTGTGCAAGTGCAGATCTGGTTGCCAGCTGTGCCAGGCACCTCTGCTGTCTGTGTGCTGACCTCTGCAGCACAGTTCTGGCCCAGAGCATTGCTACTTGGATTGTTCTCAACCAGCTCAGCAGTACCCCTGGACTGCTGCAGCTTTCTGACTCACAGCTGGATCACACCTGGGAAGTTCAAAGAAGGATCAGTTCAAATCCATGGGGTGAGCAAGCAAAAAGATACATCTGACTTAGTCAGTGTGTCTGCAATGGGGTTGAAATGAGAAGATTTGCCTTAAATTCATGGCTTAACAGCATTACAGAAAAGGAGGGGATAGGGATTTTGGTGCTTCAGACCTTCTGTAGAATAGTAAACATCTTTAACCTTCATGCCATGGTTTCATGTCAGTAGTGTCGGTGCTCCTTTACCAAGGAATAAATTAACTGAGCATGCAAATACCGTTAAGTTTAACAAGCTTCTTTTGTTTCAGGCTTTCTGACACTCAGTTGATCCCAAGTCAGGATAATTATTCCAGCTCTGTAGGCAGAGTCTGGAATAAATGCAAGAGGAGCTTTGAGAGGCTGTGTTCTCTCCTCTGTCTAAAAAAGCACAGAGAATAGGATTGATCACTGCTTCCATTAACTAATTGTATTCATCTCCTACCCTCTTGATTTCCAGCATCAAATACATTGAAGTGACAGGTTTAAATGTGCCAAATAGTTGGGTAGGTTTTTTTTGGTTTTTTTTTTCTCTCTGTAGTATCAGCAATTCTTGTATGAAAATTGCTCCTTCCAAGCCTGCCAGTCTGGAAAGTACTACAAGTAATCAAGTAATGCCAGTAAACCAGAAAGCCTGTAGCAGTTGGGCCCAACTCAAGGAAAGGACGATCCAGCTTCTTACAAACGAGAGTAAAAAGATTTAATCTGGAGGGTATGTAATACATAGATCACTCTTATAACTGTGTCTTTGATAACACAAAATTCCCTACAAGGGTAATTCTTTAGTGTTTTTTGGACATTCTGCTAAGCTTTTTTCCCTGATACTGGTATGCAGTATCTGCCTCCAAGAAAATGATTAAGGAATTTATACTTGCAGTCTAGGTGAGTAAGACCAGCCTGACATTCAATGGGTATGGACTTTTTTAGCAAAAAACCATCATTGTAAGCTGAAGGCATTGGAGCTGTCTTAATATTATTTGGGCAGATTTTATTTGGACTATTTCAAAAGCCCTTTCAGATTTTATTTTGTCAGATTAGGGTGGTATAGCTCCAAGTCAAATCTGGGATGTTATAAGTATTAACTGTATTTGGATGGGTAGAATTTAAGGTGTGAGCCTAGCCTAGCAAAATGAAAGCAAAGCGATTTCAAGCTAAGAGGCTGTTAGTAACAAATTAGAGTGTTTGTATGTCTTTACAAAATATAAACTAAACTCCCCTCCTGCAGGTGAATTAGCCTATCACAGTAAAAAATGAGCTGGGAAAAAGTTGAAAAGAAAAGAACAGTTGAAATCTACAGGATGTTTTTGCGCTGGCAAGGATATGGGAAGACTGGAAATGTGATGGGTTTTGGCATGTTTCCTGGAGGAAGGGAATTGAGTGCAGTGGGTATAATCTTTAGGCAGAATTGGGCTGTAGGTGTCAATGATACCCTGGCAGTTCAAGGAGAGGTTGTTTCTCAGCAGTTTAAATGCATCCTGTGTGAAAAGTGACGTGTACGGTGTAGGACATCCAGCGATCTCAGCTTTCACCACCAGATGAGTGAGGTGACTATTTCGGTGTGTACATCTGTGCTTGGTTTAGACAGGGTGCCACAAAAGCAGCAAGAACTCTGATGTGGAGAACCAATAGAGAAGGGTTATGGCTGGTCCTGGGCGTGACAGAAGCTGCTTAATTTAGAACCATGAGAACATCCCTGTGTGCGAGGGATAAATATAGCTCCCGGTCTGAGAGGCATCGGGTTCGGAGCGGAAAGAAGACGGAGGCAATTGAGACAAATTCTGTGGCTAGTATGGAAATATTCTCTGCTGTCAGTCCATTAACCTCAGGCACCAAATCTACTTTCAGGGGATGCTGAGGGACTGTCACTCAGCAGCATGTGCTTCTGCCAGGAAGCCACGGAGAGGGGAGCACTGCTGGGGGGGGATGTCCCTCCTCAGCTGCCTGCCCCCATGCACTCTGTGCCTGGGAGGTGCTTCCACTGACTAGGAAGTGAAGTACTGAGGCGTTTTGCTTTTTTCTTAAATTTACACCTCAGTGTTCTCACCGAGCACTGCAGATTTTTATTATTCTCCCTTTTTGTACATTGCTGAGAATAAATTATATCCTCCAGAGTTCTTTATTCTTGTGTGAGGGCAGATCCTGGGGTCTCGTTTTGCTTCTTCTGAGTAATCTGTTGAATTCTGTGGCTTGGAGTTAGGTCCCTGATGGAGTATTTGTTGCTAAGCTTCCTACTGGGATGCTGAGAGGCAGACGAGTCGTTGTCAGCTGTGTGACAAGACACCCTGATATTGCGGCTTTGCTGCTCACCTGTGCCAGGTAATGACCATTATCTGTCCCTGGGGCCTGGCGAAGATCAATCTAGAATGCTTGCCAAAGGCAGTACAGTTCTCCAGCTTGGTTAATGTGTTACAGAATATTTTTTATTTCAGCAGAAACATGTCCTCTCTCTAGGACTGTTCCCAGAGCTCTGATATATTTGTTACAGTTGTTTTGTTACAGATACAGTTGTTTCATGCAAAGTGGTCTGGCTTTGTTAGAGTCAAAATCCTCACCTATGCAGTTAAATCCAGATCAACCCAAAGCTGATTACAATTTTTTAAATGATGCTACATGTAGCTCTCATGCAAACATGAAGGGATGTTACTTATTCCAGCCTTGATAAGCAAGCATTGAATTGCACTTTGAGAAATTTGCTTTTGGATAAAGGTTTCTTTGACTCTTTAGAAACGGCACACTGTGTGACCTTGTGAAAATACCAGATGTTCACTGACCGGGGAAGGGAAAAACTGTTTTAAAAAAGAAATTACAAATATAATGAAACTTCTAAGATGTGACAGCAGAGGGAGCCATTGAGATTTGGTTTATTTGGTTCTGTTTTAAAAGAAAAAAAAAAAAAGTGACTTCAAGTTATAGAGCCCTATTCCCCTTCACATTTAACTGAATTAGACTGGGGGGTGTAAATCCATGCTAGTTTAATACATTTTGCACTGGTGCCACTTGTGGTATTGAGATGCTTCCAGATATTTGATTATATTAGTGTGCTGGGCACCTTCCTAAAGAATTTCTGGGAACACAACTGTGCAGCAAGCAATAACACTAGTGTGTCAAATGCATGAAGCCTCCACTGGAATGTGCAGTGTTATTTATTAAAATCAGTACTATAAATCTGTGCTATTTTTAATCTGTATCACTGGCATAATTTTTTATGTCTACTGATATTTCTTTCTACTGTTTTGTGTTTACTTCAGTCTGTATACTCCCATATGTTTGCACAGTGCCTGAAGCTGTGTGGGTTTTGTAAGAATGTTAACAGAAGTTCCTGAAAGCAAGGTATGTGTGCACAAAATGTTTTTCTGTATTTTCAGAAATCCTGTTAACTGATAGGCTGTGGCAATTGGCTAAGAAGAAAAACGAGTTCAAATCTTATTATTGATTCTCCCTATTACCTCCTGGAAACAAACCACAGCAAAGAAATGGTAGCTCACAGTGCTGCATGGTGTCTGCACAAGCACTGAAGCACATGGTCCCTGAATCAAACAATGCAGCACAAACTGTGGTGTGGGAGGGGAAAGTGGAGGGGGGAAGATGAAGTGAGCTGCCTACAGCAGATCGATGCCAGCTGAGGTTTTACTCCAGGCATCATAGCTGCTTTAAACCAGAGCTAGGTGATAAAGCTTGCATTTGCACCTCTATTCGCCATGCCTGCTGCATTTAGTTTGCATCAGGACTCTGCTATCATGCAATACCTGTTACCTAATGTTGAATCGCAGCAGTAGGAGTTTCACATTATCCTTCATGATGATTCCCATGTAGTTACATCCTGAATGCACATCAGTCTTTAAAAACAGCTATTCATCTTCTGTTCACAGGTGTGGTGGGGTTTTTGTGTCTTGTCTGTCTTTGTTGTTGGGGTTTTTTTTGGGTTTTTTTTTGTTTGTTTGTTTGTTTGTTTTTTTGTGAAACATCTAAGATTCAATGCTGATTCAATGTTTGAACCCTCCTTCATGTACTTGAGGGGAGATATAAATTTCATTCTTATCTTAGTATCTCATCTACACAATTGTTCTGGTGTACCTTCTAAAGCCACTGAATACTTGCTGACAAACACGGATATTGGAATGGACCTTGGACTTCAACACACTTCTTTTTTTAACATTTGCCTATGTGGGCAGGGAGCAAGCAGATTTGTCTTTTTATAAAAAGATGCTGAAGGTTTTCCATATGAAGAGTGGAAACAGCTCTGTCCTTTAAATGATGGTGCATAGACATTTTTTGTGCACAAAATTCTGCATAGACCTGTAAGAGTTCAGTGCAGTTTACTTCTTTAATAATAATGGATTTAACTGGAGGTTGTTAGGCATCTGTTGAAGACAAAAATGCACTTGGAACTAAAGGCTTTGTTCTCAATTTAGCAAACCTAGACTTTTATACACACAAACAAAAAAGAGAGTCCAGAGACTAAATACAAATGGAAGTGAGACTTCATGGACTGCTAGGAGACCTAACTGCAGCCAGGCAGGTTTATAATTTTGTCATGCTAGCGCTGCTGCATCTATGCCACCTGTAGGACTCAACCCACCATGAGCAGGGACAAATTTGCTGACCCTATCACTTCTGTGTAGTAGCCACCTCCTAGTCCCAAAACATAGAAAATCAGATGGTAAACTAAACTTCCAGAGATTTTAGACATAATGTGAGCTCTTTGAAGTACATTGTGTATTCACATCTGCTGTTTGCAACTTCGATGTCCGTGGAAAGCCTTTGTGGGGTAGACGAGATGAGGTATGAGCTGTGCACAGAGGTGGTGTGAAAAGAGGAGAGTTTTGAAGTCTTAATCCTTCTCTGCTTTCTCGTCTCTGGTCTTAGAGAGTCCCTATACCTAGGCTGCTCATAGAGTTACCTGTGCCTCTGTGGTGCTGTGATGTGTTGCATCTGCATCTGGGCAGCCAAGGTCCTGCTTTTACCAGTTTCTGAAGTGCAGAAACAAGAATTCTGGCTTTTGAATTTTTTAAAAAATTGAATTAATTATCAATAGCTTTAGACTTTGGCTTATTAAAATTTAGAGTAAAGCAGAATGAGTAGTCTCTTCATTTTTTTTTAATTTAGTAACTGCTACCGCTGTAACTTGATGGGATTTTGCATTGGACAGCAAAGAAGGAACAGTAAGCTCCTGTCCTTTTAAAGACTGATCCTTCTGAAATCTAATAGCCACAATTTATCTGTCTTAGCAGATTTTCCTCTGTTGTTCATTCAAAGGAATGAAAAAGTCTGGGGACATTAAATTTTGTGTTTAAAAAATAATCTTTTTTTAACTGCACCCTAAGACACGTTTTGAATCAAAATAAAAAAAATTATATTATGTATAGTAATTACATTCCAAATTCTGTTATACCAGCTAATTCTTTAATTGAGATTATCAATGTTTTACTTAAATGTATAATGCCGGAATTAAAGTATAATTTCAGAATGTATTTTATTTTTTCAGAAGGCCACTGAGACCTTTTATGAGTCATTACAGATATTCCTAATCTCCTTAATGTTTTTATTTTGAATTTTTTTCTAATGTTAACAAAATGAGATTTGCAAAAGAAAAACATTTTTTTTCTTTAATCTTATGTTGTAAGTTTATGGCATGAGAGACTTTTAAACTAAAACTAAAGCTTTATGCAATCCTTATGGGTTGTTTTTCACTCTCATTCCCACTCATTCATTCAGATTATCCATTTGTTTCTGAAAGGTTGGCCATGTTAGTGTCTTCCTAGAAAAATTATGGCTATCATTCTTTGTTTATGGACCCTTACAGTTGATTTGAAACAGCTCCTGAGTTTAAAATGCAGATATCTATTAATGTAGTGTTATAGGAACTTACAATTAATTTAAACATGCAAGTTTAAAAAAAATTTAAAAAATAGGAGAAAAGAAGGCCAAGGACTTTGGATAGTTGTTTTTAAAAACATTTGTGTTAATATGCACATTTCCAGCATGCAGTATTAACCTCTCTTTCACTTCAGTTTTGTTTCTATCATTCTCTATTTTCTGCAATCTAATAATGGCATTCTTAATTCCTAGACACAGCAGCAAATGAAAGCAGGGGCACCCTGGCATGTCTGTCCACTGTAATTACTTAAGATTTTTTTGCTTTAGTGATGGGTTGACCTTCTGAAGTTCCAGCTGTCATGTAGTAATATACATGACAACATGGTATTATATGCTATAGCAACCTTCAGCATCCCATATGTACTTGTCCTTCATGATTGCCATTCACATGTCTGGAGACTTCTCAGTTACAGGTGCTGAAATGATGAAGTAGATGCAGAAACTCTGTCACTTCTTGCAAATGTAAAGTCTGACCTTCATAGCTGTACTCTGCCATTGGGGCCAGAGATAAACAACTCATCTTGTTGGCACTTTTATTCCTGTGGGCAGATGTACACTCATGAGATCATCAGGTTGAAGTCACTCTATGAACTCTGACAACTTAACTGCTCATTGGGAAAGCTTTAAAAAGAAATGACAAAGCAAACAAACAACTGAGCAAACCACAGCTTGAGGCTGTGTTTGGGATAATATGGCTTGGTGTCACGCATGGAGGTTCCAGTCCCCTCCACAGTGTGGTCCCTCATGGAAGCACACACCTCTCTGGTGTGGAAACAGTGGTCTCTTGTTGTGGATATTGAGCTGTGGCTGGCTGTTAGGTGTTTGAGACAGAGCTTCAAGCCTGAACTAGAATGTTCCTCTGATGACTGGAGACCTGTGTTGCTCCTCAGAAAGGCTGAGAGCTCCCCTGTGCCAGTGATATCAAAGGTTACTGATGCCTGCAACTAAATTTCTCAGAGGTTATTACTCGGGCCATGTAATTTTTTATATTCTACAACTGTAATGCCGTTAAAAGAGGCTGATTGTTACTTCAGGGGCAGCTGGATGAAATTTGGATATGTTCACTCTCCCAGAGTCTGTAATTAGTTAATTACTGAAATATTTGCTTGTAACCAAGTTTCTATTAGTTTGATTCATTCTGGCTTAGAAAAAAAAAATATATATTTTTTTCCAACTGGATGATTTTATGATCATTTGTAGATATAAAACAATGTGTAGGAATGAAGTTCTCAGTTAAATAGCTTTCAGTTGGCCAAGCACAATATAACACTATCTACCTTCAGAAATCTGTTTTCTTTCTCTGATTAAAGACAAAAAATAGTTCTAAACTAGTAACTGCTGAGGAGTTTGTAATGCATTTCATATTAATTGTTGGTGTTATACTTGTTGTGAGAGATATCTCATATAATTTACTTGAAAAAGGATATGGTTAATATGCAATTAGGATGGCTGCTTCCTGCATACTTGATGTAGGGACCTTTTACTGGTGCAGTAAAACAATACTTTCCAAAAAGTGGGATAGAAGATCTCCTCTAGTAAATTTTATCACGTTAGATATCAGATTATGTGGTCCAATGGACAGAGTAGGAATTGAAGTGTCATGTGATGCTGTTTTTACATTAGATTTGACACTACTTCACTGTTTTAGATTAGCTCCTTGCTGAATGGGAATGGCAGCACCTCACAGTTTGGGGAGTGAGCTGATCCTTCTGAATGAAAGGTGTTTGAAATAAATTATCAATCAATAATCCATACTTGTTCTGATGCTGACAAGAGGGTTAAAGAATAATATACTTGATCTAGATAAGCATTTTTAGTGTTTATTACACTTTTGAGTCTTGTTTTTCTATTAGGTATAGAGCTTAGGAGCCTGCATGGGCAGCAAGTGAGATGGTACTTCTCCATTACACCCAAAAAAGTCCCTCAAAGTTATAAGAAAAAGAAACTGCACAAAAGAGGAAGAAAAAAATATAATGCAACATTTTCAAGTTTATAGTATTTTGATTATGGAAGATCATTTCTGAGTTCCAAGGCATGTTATTTATCATGTTCAAATTGGAGCTTGGGGGAACTTCAGAAGACACACTGCTTAAAATATTATTCAACAGAAAGTGTAATAAAAAAAAAATTTAAAGATTAAAAGTTAGTCGCAAATAATCAGAAAAACAAGGCTTTCCCCCAAAGCATATCTTTAAATATTAACTAGACTCACTTTTGATCTTCATACTTAATTAAAATTCAGGATAGATTCCAGACCCAAACTGAAAGAAAGTGCTGATATTTTCCCCCCCTCATTTGCAAGATCTCTGCTCAATGCCATATTGCTTGTTTACTTCTCTATGATGCTCCATTTATCTAGTTATGTTCTATAACACACATGCTTTAATATTTTATAATGGAAGCTGGGCTCCTGGGTAAAGAGAAGGCTTCATCTCTTGAGATTGCCTAGATCA